CGTGTTTTGAAGGACTATGATATGGATTTTCATATGGACATGAGCATGTTTCTCCTATCATTTCTTGATACATTCAACTGGGTGGATGATCTAATTAGCGTAGATCAAAAGTGGATGAGTTACTCTAACAATGTGCGGAAGGGGCAGTNGATCCCCCCCACCTTTAATCGAAGAACCTTGTTACTTCTCAGAGAGCCTTTATCTTGATTGATGGTCCTTTTTTATTTCCAAAAGACATCCGAAAACAAAGGTATTTTATTTGGGGGCCAGAGCCGAAGTTTCTTTGATTTACTCTAATTTATTTTTTTCACTTACAGTTGCCAATGTTCTTCCCAACGTCTCAGGAGAATTGGAAGTTGGATCAACAAGAATATATGAGAAGGTTCCAAGAGAAGTGTTGACAAACAATACTACGAATATATTTTTGTATTTGTTTGTTGAAAAGTCAATGGGACAAAAAGTACCATAAAGGTGAGTTTCAACCACTCAAGTTTGAAGAAAGTTGGGTAACAGTTTTAGTTATACTGTATTTCCTCTAATTGAAGCCCATGGGCTTGTATTTTTCAACCTCCTTTTTAGGAAATTACCAAAAACTAAAATTACCAGGAATTTTTGAAATAGAAAGAAAATGCCTACAATAACAGAATAGACGAACTGAACTGTTCAAACTGCACTAACTGAACTGCCCGTACTTATGTTAGAGCGTGTGCTTCTATGTTTTTAAGCACGTCAGAGGGTGGGCTTCTATTGGAGGTGGGCTACAAATAGAGGTGGTCTTCTATCAGAGGGAATACGGTATCTGTATACTAACGCCAATTCTATAACACAATTTTGCTTCCAGTTTTGGAATCGAAAGTTCAATATCTCGAGAGCTTTCTTTTAGCCCGTTTTGCGGCTTCATTCATCGAAATTTCGCTTTTCTTAAACTTTTCAAGTAAAACTTTTCAGTAGTCAGTTTTTGCAAGTTTATTTAATTTTTTGTGAGTTTTTATGTAGTTAAGCTGAAATTGGTTTGATATGAATCGTATAATATTTAATTAGATTATTAAATTGCAAAAAAGTAGTGACGGCCGCTTTGTTCATTGAATAACTTTTGTCAAACTTATCCAAAGTATGAAAACTTATTTTTTAAAGGTGGGGGGACAGGCGATTTTCGGAGGATTTTTGGAGCCAGGGTATGCATTCTACCGTCACGGTGTACAACGCTTAATGTCACTCTGCGTACAGCTGTCGTCCTCGCATTTATGTGTGCAATCGGGAGGTCGCTTTCTCTTTGCCCACGTGGCTCAGTCGGTAGCGGCGCCGCACTCTCAATCCTCGCCCCCACAAGTTCAACTCTTCGAGGGGCATCTTTGAACGGAATTTCGAAAACATTATTTTTTTCATGTCTCCCCACCTTTAAGCATAGCTAAACTGTTCAATAACACGACCATACGTTTTTTGATGCAAAACAAGAATTACAAATTTTTTAAAGTGATATACAAGAGAAAAATGGCAACAGCACAAAATGAAAACAGTCAGATAAACTTGAAAAAATCGGTAAATTTTAACTTATAGTTAGGCATAATTTTTCCTCATGGGCCTTTTGGTTTTGCCCGTAAATTCATATTTTCCAGAAGGATCATCCGATGAAACTGAGCATTGGAGGAAAGAAATTTGAAGTTTCCAAAACAACAATTGAGAAATGCTTCAGCCGTCTGAAAAGGGATTTCGAGCTATCAAGCGAAACTCCAATGAGTTCTGGTTCATCTCCTTTTTTCTATGAGCGAGATCCGAAACATTTTCAATTAATTCTGAATTTTATGAGAGATGGAAATGTGATACTTCCGCAAAATTCAATCGAGCTGAAGGAAATTTTGGAAGAAGCCAAGTTTTATATATTGCAAGAATTAGTGAAACTCTGTGAGGAAACATTGGAGAGGTGAGACTTTTTTGATGAACTTGGGAAATTGAAACTTTCAGAAAAGCGCACGAAATCCCATTTGGAATTGTGAATTTGAATGTTGGTGGTACCGTATTCCAAACTACAAAAGCAACGTTGACCAGATTCGATGGAATGTTCAAGACCATGTTGGACATGGAATTACGGTAAATTCCCAAAAAATGTTCGGATTTTCAAAGTTAAAAAAAACAATTTTTCCAGGTCAAAATCAACGAAATTGACACATTATTCATCGATCGATCGCCGAAACATTTCGATCTGATTCTGAATTTCATGAGAGATGGTGACGTGGAATTTCCAGAAAATTCCAGAGAAATTCGTGAAATTCGAAGAGAGGCTCAATATTATCTGTTGGGTGGATTGGTGGAAGCTTGTGAACAATTTTTCGTTGCAGTGGATGTACCGTAAAACCTCTAATAGAACGACACCCGGAACGTCCACTTTGAGCCTATATATCTCACTTCCTGCGAAAGATATCAAAAAGTGGCTGACTAGTAAAATGTTGCTGATATCCTGATAAACATTTTACTAGTTAACCACTTTTTGATACCTTTCAAAAGAAGTGAGATATATAGGCTCAAAGTGGACATTCCGGGTGTCGTTCTATTAGAGGTTTTACGGTATCTGATTTTTAAGTTTTGAATTTTTACAATTTTTTTCTTCTGTCAATTTTTTTTATTGAATCTGTTGTCAATTGCTGTCTCAATAAAATGTTCATTCACTTTTTTTGAGACTTTTTTTGGGAACTATCGATTTTCAAAATTTGCACAATTTCGAGTTTTCAGGTTTTTCCAAAACAGGAAACGAGATAATTAGGTTCAAATGGAGGGTCTTTTTCGGGAGTTCCATAGATTTCGAAAGGGAAAATTCATTAGTTATTTGAACGTGATGGAAAAACCTTTATTGCATTGTTCAAAAAATTTAAATTCTCAAACGAAAAATCGACGTGAATTGGTATATTGACCTCAGGAGGATTACTATAAAAGAAGAGGAAAGTGAAGGGAAAAATTAGTTCTCGCTTTCTCAGGGCTCCAGAGAAGGTGACCCGGGAGAGGGATCCTTGGATCCTTGGATTTTTCTGTTCTGGGTCATGACCTAGATTTCAGTTTCTGGGTCATGACCTAGATTTCAGTTTTTGGGTCGTGACCTAGATTTCAATTTCTGGGTCATGACCTAGATTTCCATTTTTCGGTCATAACCTAGATTTCAGTTTTTGGGTCGTGACCTAGATTTCAATTTCTGGGTCATGGCCTAGATTTCCATTTTTCGGTCATGACCTAGATTTCAGTTTTTGGGTCGTGACCTAGATTTCAATTTCTGGGTCATGACCTAGATTTCAGTTTTTGGGTCGTGACCTAGATTTCAATTTCTGGGTCATGACCTAGATTTCCATTTTTCGGTCATGGCCTGGATTTCAATTTTTGGATCATAACCTAGGTTTCAATTTCTGGGTCATGACCTAGATTTCAATTTTTGGGTCGTGACCTAGATTTCAATTTTTGGGGTCATGACATAGATTTCAATTTCTGGGTCATGACCTAGATTTCAATTTTTGGGGTCATGACATAGATTTCAATTTCTGGAATTTCAATTTCCTTTTGACTCTAATTATCTCGCTTCCTGATTGAGTTATCAAAACATTGTCAACTAATGAAATGTTACTGACTTCATGACAAACATTTCTGTTTTCTAAAAGTTTTGTTATCTTTTATAAGAACCAAGATCTTTTGACTCAAAGACTAGCGTAAATCACACATTTTCAAATCGATTTGTCTTGAATTTCATTCACTCTTATTACAGTGAAACCTATACTCGATTCTATAAACTAGCCAATTTAGAGAAAATTCTGAAAAAGAATCTAAGAATCTAAGAATCCCTAAATATGATTGGTGTACATCTATCCTAAATTTCCCCCATTTATTTTCCAATCCCCCGCTGATCAAAACGAAATGATTCTCTTTTGAATTTCTGTTGCAAAAAATCAACGAGTGAGAGATTAGGAAAATCAAAGAGACGCAGACATACTAAAAAAGGAAATCCGTGACCGCATTCTTCCATATCAGTTGGCTAATACGAGACAGAGAAAAAAGGGAGAAAAAAGATTTGCCCATTTCTGGGAGAGATTTCAGGTCAAGGACTTATACTGGTACATTTGTATACAAAGAGAAAAATTGGGAAAAATGGGAAAAGAGAGATACGGAGAAATGACTAATAGTGTATTGAACTTTTGAAATTTACATTAAAAATTTTGAAAATTCTGAATTTCTGAATTTCTGAATTTCTAAATTTCTGAATTTCTGAATTTCTGAATTTCTGAATTTCTGAATTTCTGACATTCTGAATTTGTGAATTTGTGAATTTCTGAATTTTTTTTGAGTTTTCAAAAGCTTGGAAAATTTATGTTTCGAACTTTTGAATTTTCGAATTTTTGGAATTTTCTGAGCTCATTGAATTCCTGATTAGTTCCTGTAGTATTTTTAGTTTTTCTAGGAGTTTCTTGAAATTTTCTGGTTTTTCGAATTTTCAGAATTTCCGAAACTCTGAATTTCAAATTTTCAGGGATTACATTCAGAATTTCAGCATTTCAGAATTTCTAAACTTCTGAGTTTTGGATATTCGGAATTTCTGAATTTCTGAATTTCTGAATTTCTGAATTTCTGCACATTCTGAATTTCTGAATTTCTGAATTTCTGCCACCCTGCATTTCTGAATTTCTGAATTTCTGAATTTCTGAATTTCTGAATTTCTGAATCTCTGAATTTCTGAATTTCTGAATTTCTGAATTTCTGAATTTCTGAATTTCTGAATTTCTGAATTTCTGAATTTCTGAATTTCTGAATTTCTGAATTTCTGCATTTCTGAATTTCTGAATTTCTGAATTTCTGAATTTCTGAATTTCTGAATTT